TGTGTCCCGGAGCACAATTATTGATTTGCACCAGTTTGTCAGCTGGGCTCACAAATGCAACCAGGCAATTAGGAGCACTTTGTGCTGAAAAGAGGAGAGATCACCTCGCCTCTCTCTCAGGGTTCTGTGAAAATGTCACTTTCCATCAGGCAGCCATTTACAGGCCGCCGCTGCCGCCGCTGAGAGAAGAAGGAGCGTCAGCGTGCAGGAGGAGGAGGAGGAGAGTGGAGAGGAGAGAGGGCAGGAGCACACTTCAGTGGGAAGGAAGAAGGGAAATTAGAAAAAAACAGGGATTTTAGAAAGAAAACCAAAATGGAGAACATGTGGCAGCAAATTTATGTTGAAATGGTTATTGTCTGTCACTGCAGGCGAAAAAATAATTACATTTTTCTTGGCTGTGTCATGTGTTTTCATTTGTTTGTAGTTGTAGTGGCCAAGCCACTGACGCTTTAAGCCACTGAGGTGATACACCGGAGAAGTATCGACATGCATATTGTTACCTTGTCATGAATTAAAGTTAGAGCCGCCGTTGATGGTTGTACAGGTCATCCATTTATTTTGCTTTGTTTCCTCTGTGTCTACTTGAAGCCATACAAGTTTATTCTTCCCATACACGTTAACAGCATTTGTTTCTTTAGCGGTCAAAAACTGTTCCCCCCCTTCTGGGGTGGAACACCTAACTCACACAGAAAGGTTCCTATCTTATATACCACCATTTACCCATGTGACCTAATACCCATTAACAAATATTTACACAACCATCACCTGCTCCTACAGTAGTGTTAGCAACATAGCCCATGAACAAATTTTGAACCTTCAGAGCACAATGACTGGATTGACAACTACAACTCCTTAACTTTTGTAATCGATCAAATTCAAGATGGCTGACACGTGTAGGGGTCACCTCGAGTGAAGAAACAAGATTTACTGCCTCGAAGCAGGCCTCTGACAGACCTGATGAGAGGACAGGAACTCTGTCACAAACTGAACTCTATTTAGGCCATGACAGGTCATTCCAACCATGGAAGAGAACCCCCCAGTTCTCTTAATCAGATAATGGACAGAACAATCTATTCTGAGCGTGATTCATTTGTTGTTTAACTAAGAATGTTTATGCATTTGTTAAATCGTGATAATGCCTGTCACAGGAAAAGTGGAACGACTTCTTTTCTTTTATCGTGCCTTAAAGATTTATAAAGGTATAAAAAATCACAGAGAATTTGATTACAATGTTTTTATTGTGTTTTTATGTAAATCACTGTTTTATTTTACTGTGAACACAATAATATAATTGTGGATTTTTCCTGAGAAAATCTTTCATTTACCTGGACTAACAGAAGGTTCAGAACTGATTATAAAACAGAAATGTTAATTAATCATCATAAATGTTTTGCAGTGATTTCTCTTAGTCTATCAGAAGAAAGCTGAAAAGAGGTTATCATATCATGTTGTTGAACAACCACAGAATTTTAACCTTGGGCTGGCGCCAGCTGGCAAATCTTCATCTTTCTTTCTCTGACTCATCTCTAAGCCTGAGGGCGGAACCAAAGTTCATCCGTTTCTTTTACTAACCCGGACGGCTTTGAGTGACACACTCTTCTTCCTGATTCCAACCTAGGAAGACAGCTGGGATTCTCTCCGGAGAAACCTCAGTTTGGCTTAAAGTCTGATCCCATGAGCTAATTAGGGAAGACTTCACAGCCAGGGACCCGACACGCCTGCTGGTGGTCTCAACCCGAGGCTGAGCCTCTGAGTGTGTTTTAACTCCCGAGGGGAGATTTTATTTTGGAAGGAGGAACCGGATACGGCTTGAATTTTTCTGGCTTGGACTGAAACAGACGAAAGTTACCTGGAAAAGCACCTGTTTGCCAATGACCGGTAAGCGAGCCGACAATCAGTTTCCTGACTGATCGGAGGCGAGCCAGCTTCTACCC